CTAACCACGTACTGGACTCTATCCGCCTCACCTTTCCCCCAGCCAGTGCCCTTGACCTGGTCAGCACCATACAGTTTGTGTCAATCTTGCAGGCAGTTGCCCAGGAGCTGAAAGCTGAGTATCGCATGAGTGTCCCACAGTGTAAGCCCCTGTCCCCTGCGGAGATTCTGGGCTGCACATCACCCTACCTGCCCAAAGAGGTGGAGGCTGTTGTATATTTGGAGATGGCCCCTTCCATCTGGAGTCTGTCATGATTGCCAACCCCGATGTCCCTGCTTACCGATATGATCCATACAGCAAAGTCCTATCCAGAGAGCACTATGACCATCAGCAAATGCAGACTAACTGCCAAGAAACCATAGCCACTGCCCGCTCAGCTAAATCCTGGGGCCTTATCCTGGGCACTTTGGGCCGTCAGGGCAGCCCCAAGATTCTGGAGCACCTGGAATCCAGGCTGCAAGCCTTGGGACTTCCCTTCGTGAGGCTGCTGCTCCCCAAGATCTTCTCCAGCAAACTCAGTCTGCTTCCACAGGTGGACGTGTGGGTACAAGTGGCATGTCCACGCCTCTCCATTGACTGGGGCACAGCCTTCCCCAAGCCACTGCTGACACCGTATGAGGCGGCGGTGGCCCTGCGGGACATTTCCTGGCAGCGGCCCTACCCCATGGACTTTTATGCTAGCAGCTCCTTGGGGCCCTGGAAGGTGAACCACGGGATGAGACAGGCTGGGGAAGATGCAGGAGGGATCCGTGCGTGCCTTTCTCCAGCTGTGACTTGCGAGGGTTGCAGCTGCAGAGACTAGGAAGTGGTGCCACTCGCTCCGTGAGACGTTTGCTCCTGAGTCTCAGGGTCCTGCCCTCCGGAGGAGCAGCCTGGAGGCTGGTGGTTTTCGGAACAGGGGGCAGACGTTTTCTCCGCACTTTTTCTTCTTCCTCTTCTTAAAGAATACCTTTCAGCATTTCATATAATACTGGTTTGGTGGTGATGAACTCCTTTAGCTTTTTCTTATCTGTGAAGCTCTTTATCTGACCTTCAATTCTGAATGATAGCTTTGCTGGATAAAGTAATCTTGGTTGTAGGTTCTTGCTATTCATCACTTTGAATATTTCTTCCCCTACGTGTTTTAAAGAACAGAGTATTTAATGTTCATTTAAAGTTGTTTTCTATGCTGTGATTTGCTCTAGCCTCTCTGTGATCCCATTAAGACCCCCCACAATTTATTGCTCTCAAACCATCAGTAAAGTGTGCACCACCCTAAATATAATAAAGCAGGATAAGAAATGGTGATGGAATGGAGTGAATGGGAGAGGGAGGCTTTGCCACTAGGGGCCAGACACCCCAAAGGAACACCTCTCTGAAAAGGTAAAATGAATAGAGAGCAAAAAGTGTGAGGGAGAAGAGTGTTCCATGCTAAGAAAAGTAAATGCAGAGACTCCAAGGCAGGCTATGCTGGGCACATTTAAAGACCAGCAAGGAAACCAGGGTGTGTGGAGCCAAGAAAGATTTTAAGAAATGGCATCAGAGAAATAGCCAGGAGCCAGATAATGCTGGCCATGGATTTTACTCTGAGTGAGACAGAAAGTCATTACAGTAAGGGTTTTGGGCAGAGAAATGACATAATTAAAGTTAATTGAAATGTATCGCTCCAGTTGCGGTGGAAAGAATACACTGTAGAGATGCAGAAACAGGGAGGAAGTTTTCTAAAAGAAAGATGCTGCTGGCTTGGGTGAGGCCACTAGTGGTCTGGGTGGGGGAAAGAGGTTGTTCTGGGTGTATTTGGAAATTAGAGCCAGCAAGACTTGCAGGTGGGTTGGATATGGAGTGTGAGAGAAAGAGAGTCATCAGGGGCGCTCAGGAAAGACCTTTCTAACCCAAGGAGCTGTCTGACATGGAATGAGCTGTCCCCAGATGCAGTCATTCAATAGTGGAGGCAGTTGGTCCTTCAGAGGGCTCTTCTCTTTCTAGCTTACCTGCCAAGTAAGCTCCTTAGAACATTTCTACCTTTAGAGGCAATGGGCCCAGGTGACCTCTAAGATACCTCATGTGCCAAATACTTTCAGGCAGTCGGAACAGGGTTCTGTACTTCATAAATGTTCAGGCTAACTGGTTGCAAAGTAATTTCTTACACCAAAGTAACTTTTTGACTGCTGTGTACCTTTCCCCCCACACACTCATTTTTATACTGATCAAAATGGGTTAAAGGGAACAGCAGAGACAGCGGCTTTGGGATAAGCAGGTACCACACAAAGAAACCTGAGAGTGGGAAATGCTGATGTGTGGAAGGAAGGGGGAGCAGCCCCATCCTTTTGGCCTTTGGGGATGGTTATGAATAGAGGCTACACCAGAAGAAGGTGTAATTGTAAATGACTGAATTGTAAGCAAACACTCTAACATTTTCAAATCCCCCCAAATGTTGTCTCTTTCAAAACAAGAACCTTGGGGGTAATCTAGTGCTCCATAAACTATACAGTTGTCATAGTGGTGCTGCCATTGCTCAAAGCTTGCTTTGAACTCTTCTTTGTTTTGTTTTTTTTCTTGAAGAGAGTTAATGTAACTTACTCCAAAATCTAGTCTCTGAGGTCCCTGGGAAGCTCTGCTGTCAGGAACTTCAGATTCTCCTGGCTGGCAGGAACGTTAAAGCTTCCTGCCTATTTGGTGTTTGACCTCCCATGGCATCATTAGTGACAGCAGGCATCTAACCTCTAAGTCAAACCAGGAGAGAAATGAATGTGGTTAACACCCTCCAGGCAGCCTCGACACATCTTCCTATTCAGCTGTGATTGTCAGAAAGTTCTTTCATTTCTAACTAAAACCTGCCTCGTTGTACCTTCCATCCACTGGTCATCATGGAGTGTGGAACAGAAGACAGGCATTTGTGAACCACCTCCATTATTTTGCCATTTTTATCCTATCCAAGTATCACTAGTCCTATTGGTTTTTAATATCTTTCTTTCAAATGACCCAATTTCATAGGTGAGTAATTTTACCTTAAATGTAAAATACATCCCTTTGTAAGTGGAAAACCTACATCAATCGGAGCCTGATAGCATAAGGAATAATATCAGAAGGAACAGAAAGTGATGATATTAAATTCTACTTAGGAAGTGTTGCCTAGCAAAGGTGCTGAGCTTGAGGCAACCTCTCTGTTAAAACAGAGATTAGCAGATGTTGAGAGGTATAGAGACAAAGTACCACAAAATGATACTTCTTCCTTATTGTAGGCTCAAGAGAACTGAAAGGGGCATACTGTTTGCACCATGTGATCTCTTATTTAACCTCACTGTCGGTGTACCACTCAAAAGCATCTCCTATACCTCTCGTGGGAGGTGTACACATTGGGACCCACTGGTGAAGGGGCCAAGCACTTTGGCTATGGTCAAGCTGATCAGAATGAGATCATGGTTCTTCTACCTCTTAGCTGCTCCATCCTATACACCTTAACCACTATAAACATCAGTTTCTTCATCTTTAAGGTGGGGGTAGTATTAGCTCTTCAGAGTGATGCTTTCTTAAAGACATTTGAACATTATGCCCAGGTCGTAAGCTGAATATTGAAGAATATAAATTCAGCCTAAGACTCCAGCATCATTCAGTTTTGGGGCTGAATTAATTCAGCCTTTACACACTGACCAGGCTGTGCTTGTAGCCAACTAAAATCGCTAGGCTACATTGGCATGTTCTGCCTGTCAACCAAATCCCCCTTGTGAACTTGTGCTGCTGAGCATTTGGGCCCGAGGGAGGACTTGGCATTATTCTTGTTACCTAGATTCTCCCCTTCACTTTAACGTGTGCTTGAACATTTGTTCAACGCCTTCTGCTACCCTGCATTTGAGGGAAAGGGAGTCAAATGGACAGAGCGGAGCTATGATGAGAATGTAGATGTGAGTCTGCATTCCTTTGAAATAAGAAAATGGAAACTTTTTGCTGAGTATCCACTATGTTTTAGGCACTTTCCTCTAACATCTCATTTAATAATCCAGGAACCCCTTAAAATAGATGCAATCCTCATTTTACAGAGCAGAAATCTGAATTTTTATTTTAAGTTGTTAAGCATGGTAATTATGCAATTTTTTACTATTTTGGCTTAATATTATTTCATAAACACTTTATCTGCTTTATCATATTGCTTAATATTTTTCTGTTTTTCCCCTTTATAAATAAATGTCTTCTCCTTGTTCTAAAAACTTTATTTTGTTGTTGTTAATCCTCACCCAAGGATATCTTTGTTTTAGAGACGGAGAAGCATAGATGCGACACATTGATTGGTTTTCTCTGAATACCTCCCCCTCTCCCCCCCACACACACACCCAGGGCCAAATTAAGCCTACCCTTGACAGGAATCGAACCCATTCCTTTCAGTCCACAGGCCTATGCTCTATCCACTAAGCCAAACCAGCAAAGGCTCTAAAAACATTTTGAGACCCTCTTACCTTCATGTTTATCATTTTAACGGTTGTATAATAACCCTAAGTTACCCAACCTTAATTTATTTAACCTATTTCCTTTTGTTGACAGTTTAGTTTTGTTTGTTTGCTTTTTGTGGTTTTTTAAATTATTATTTCTGTAATAAATGATCCTGATAGGAACATCCCGCACAGCATTATTTTGTTCTGGAAATTTCCCCAAGAATGGAATTACTACATCAAAGGGGATTTGGCTCTGTATTTACAGAGACTAGCGAATTGCTTACCCAAAGGAGTGTGTGGTTCTTGAGGGTAAAAAGAAAAATCTGGTTTCTACAAAAGAAATTAATTTTCCACTTATTCATAAAATATTTGAGCTCCTGATAGATGTTAGGCGCCGTGCCAGGGGCTGGGGATGAGCAAGGTCCGGTCTGGTAGAGGCAACCTCGCTCCAGGTCCCTTCCTCTGGACAGGGAGGACCGCGCGCCCCTCCGCGCGGAGGAGTGGAAGGAGGGAGCTGTTGCGAGTACCGGGGAGATCTCGCAGCACAGACAGCTCTCGGCCTGAGCCTTGCAGAATGAGTAAGAGTTTAGGCACGGGATTTATATTTATTTTATTGTGACTCTCTGCCCTTCCATCAGAAAAAAAAAAAAATTTCCCACTTTTGGCACAGAGACCATTGGAGCCCGAAGCCCCCAACGTCGTAAGCCTCTTTCCATCTCCTAGGAGGAGGGCAGGGGGTGTCTTCGACCGCGGGTGCGGGCTCCCGGGTCCGGGAATTCCCGGCGCGGGCCCCGCAGTCCCCAAGGACCAGACCCGACGCGTGGCCCTCGGGGGAGGGAAGACGCGCCCTGGGCGCAGGGCTCCCTCGGAGTCAGCTCGGCGCGGTCAGGTTGGGCA